AGGACCAAGCCCCTCTCTGCTGCATCAAGGCTGAGCAAGGCATCCCTCCATGGGGAATGGGCTCCAAAAAGCCAGTTCATGCACGAGGAATAAATCCTGGTGCCACTGCCAGTGGCCCCATAAATTGTCCAAGTCACACAACTGTCACCTACATTCAGAGGGCCTAGTTCAGTCCCATGCAGGTTCCCCAGTTGTCAGTCCAGAGTCAGTGAGCTCCCATTAGCTCAGGTCTCTGTGGGTTTCCCCATCATGATCTTGTCCCCTTTGCTCATATAATCTCTCCTCCTTTGCTTCAACTGGACTCTGGGAGCTCCACAAAGTGCTTAGCTGTGGATCTCTGCATCTGCTTCCATTTGTACTGGATGAAAGTTATCAGTTCCCTTGATCCTTACGCATGGGGACAGGGCAACCATGGACCTCCCAGCCAGGAAACATGGTGTCAATCATATAGCTTTGGGTCTCCATGTAAACACCGAGAGGAAGTGTAGAGATTTTGGGTGTGGCCAATGATATGATATAAATATTCACACAAATACAAATGTAAATAAATATGGTGGCATTGATCAATGAGTAGATAAATGTTTTACTACAAATGCTACTACTACTGCTTGTAGATACTCTTGAAATCTATTAAAAGTTAACTGGCTTAAAGATGTATATAAACTTCATCCAAGTTCACATAGGAAGTATAATTAATGGATTAAGGCCCAGTGCGGGTCAACCTTAATCTTATATCTCACTTGATTTCTTAAGACACTATCATAACAATGTGAATCCTAAATAACAAATAGTGAAAGGAGAAATGTAGAAATCATTTGAAACACTATCAATCTTTTTATTATCTTCTCTGCTGTGTAATCCCTGGATGGATGATGATTGCCACCTTGTTTCCTGGCTGGGAGGTCCACGGTTGTCCAGTCCTCATGAGTAAGGATCAAGGGAACTGATCCTAGGGTCTTTGGAGCACAGTGACCATTGCTCATCCCTCAGAAAGAATGGTGTCAGTCTGCTTTAAACACTGGGCCACACCCAGGATCTTCTCTCTTAAAATTAAGCAAAAATACCCACAGGCATGCCCCACCAATCTTGAGTTTTAGTTAATTCCAGATGTATTAAATTTGGCAACCAAAAATAGCTATCACAACTGTACCCATTGTCAACTTGATACACAACTGTGTCTTTTTATTGTTATTTTAATTTTATAATTGAATTTAATTTTACACATCAGCCACGGATTCCCCTGTCCTCCCTTCTCCCACCCCACCCCACGCTCCCCCCAACTCACCCCCCATTCCCATCTCTTACAGGATAAGGACTCCCTTAGGGATTCATCTCAGCTTGGTAGATTCAGTCGAGGCAGGTCCAGTCCCCTCCTCCCTTCACTCAGGCTGAGCAAAGTGTCCCTGTATAGGCCCTAGGCTACAAAAAGCCAGCTCATGCACTAAGGCAGGTCCTGGTCCCATTGCCTGGGGGTCTCCCAAACACTCGACTGTCTCACTTATCCAGAGGGCCTGATCCAATTGGGGGCTCCTCAGCTATTAATTCATTGTTCATGTGTTTCCACTAGTTTGGCTATTTGTCCCTGTGCTTTTTCCAATCATGGTCTCAACATCTCTCGCTCATACAATCTCTCCTCTTTCTTGCCAATTGGACTCCTGGAGCTCTACCTGGGGCCTGGCCATGCTTCCATCAGTCATTGGATGAGAGTTCTAACAAAACAGTTAGGGTGTTTGGCCATCTGAGAACCAGAGTAGGTCACTTTGGGCTTTCTCTTGACCATTGCCAGTAGTCTATTGTAGAGGTATCTTTGTGGATTTCTGGGGACGTCTCTAGCACTTTGCTTTTTCCTATTCCCATGGGGTCTTCATCTATCACAGTCTCTCTTTCCTTGTTCTCCCTCTCTGTTTTTGATCCAGCTGGGATCTCCCGTTCCCCAAGTTCTCTTTCCCCCAACCCTTGACCTTCATTTCCCTCCCTCATGTCCAGTTTGCTCATGTAGATCTCATCCATTTCTCTGTCATTGGGTGATCTCTGTGTCTTTCTTAGGGTCCTCTTTACAAGGTAGCCTCCCTGGAGTTGTAAGTAGCAGTCTAGTCATCCTTTGCTTTACATCTAGTATCCACCTATGAGTGATTACATACCATGTTTGTCTTTCTGAGTCTGGGTTACATCACTCAGGATGATTTTTTGTAGATCCATCCATGCCTGCAAAGCTCATGATGTCATTTTTTTTGCTGACTAGTACACCATTGCGTATATGTACAATATTTTATTTACACATTCTTCAGTAGAAGAGCATCTAGGTTGTTTCCAGATTCTGGCTATGACAAATAACGCTGCTATGAACATAGCTGAGCATGTGATATGATTGAGCATTCCTTAGGTATATGCTCAAGAGTAGTATAGCTGGGTCTTTGGAGAGATTGATTCCCAATTTTATAAAACAGCACAATATTGATTTCCAAAGTGGCTGTACAAGCTTGTATTCTCACCAACAGGGGAGGAGAGTTCCCCTTGCTCCACATCCTATCCAGCATAAGGTGTCTTCAGTGTTTTTGATCTTAGCCATTCTGACAGGTGTAACATGGTATCTCAGTCATTTTGATTTGCATTTCCCTGATGATTAGGGATGTTGAGCAATTCCTTAAATGTCTTTCAACCATTTGAGCATCTTCTGTTGAGAATTCTCTGTTTAGCTCTGTAGACCATTTCTTAATTGGACTGTTGGGAATTTTGATGTCTAATTTCTTGAGTTCTTTATATATTCTGGATATCAGCCCTCTCTGAGATATGGCGTTGGTGAAGACCTTTTCCCATTCTGTAGGCAGTCGCTTTGTCTTTTTGACTGTATCCTTTGCTCTACAAAAGCTTCTCAGTTTCAAGAGGTCCCATTGATTAATTGTTTCTCTCAGTGTCTGTGCTACTGGTGTTATATTTAAGAAGAGATCTCCTGTGCCAATGCATTCAAAACTACTTCCTACTTTCTCTTCTATCAGGTTTAGAGTAATTGGATTTATGTTGAGGTCTTAGATCCATTTGGACTTAAGTTTTGTACATGGTGAAAGATAGGGATCTATTTGCAGCCTTTTACATGTTGACATCCAGTTATGCCAGCACCATTTGTTGAAGATGCTTTCTTTTTTCCATTGTACAGTTTTGGCTTCTTTGTTAAAAATTATATGTTCATAAGTGTATGGGTTAATGTCAGGGTCTTTAATTCAATTCCATTGATCCACATGTCTGTTTTTATACCAGTACCAATCTGTTTTTTATTACTATAGCTCTATAGCAGAGCTTGAGATCAGGAACCGTGATGCCTCCAGAGGTTGTTTTATTGTATAGGATTCTTTTGGCTATCCTGGGTTTTTGTTTTTCCATATGAAGTTGAGTATTGTTCTTTCCAGGTCTGTGTAGAATTGTGTTGGTATTTTGATGGGGATTGCATTGAATCTGTAGATTGCCTTTCATAAGATTGCCATTTTTACTATGTTAATCCTGCCTATCCATGAGCATGGGAGATCTTTCCATTTTCTGACATCTTCAATTTCTTTTTTCAGGGACTTAAAGTTCTTGTCATATAGGTCCTTCACTTGCTTATTTAGAGTTACCCCAAGGTATTTTATATCATTTGTGGCTATTGTAAAGGGTGGTGTATCTCTGATTTATTTCTCAGCCTGTTTGTCAAATGTATATAGGAGGACTACTGATTCGATTGAGTTAATCTTGTATCATACTACATTGATGAATGTGTTTATAAGCTGCATGAGTTCCTTGGTCAAATTTTTGGGGTCACTCATGTATACTATCATGTCATATGCAAATAGGGAAAGCTTGACGTCTTCCTTTCCAATTTGTATCCCCTTAATCTCCTTATGTTGTCTTATTGCTCTGGCTAGAACTTGAAGTACTATATTGAATAAGTATGGGGAGAATGGACAGCCTTGCATTGTTCCTGATTTTAGTGGAATCGCTTTGAGTTTCTCTCCATTTAATTTGATGTTGATACTGGCTTGCTGAAAATTGCCTTTATTATGTTTTGGTATGTTTCCTGTATTCCTGATCTCTCCAAGACCTTTATCAAGAAGGGTGTTGGATTTTGTCAAAAGCCTTTTCAGCATCCATTGAGCGGGGTGTTGAAGTCTCTCACTATTAATGTGTGGGATTTCATATGTGATTTAAGCTTTAGTAATGTTTCTTTTACATTTGTGGGTGTCCTTGTGTTTGGGACATAAATGTTCAGAATTGAAACTTCATCTTGGTGTATCTTTCCTGTGATGAGTATGTAATGCCCTTCCTGATCTCTTTTCATTGATTTTAGTTTGAAGTCTATTTTGCTGGACATTAGGATGGCTACACCTGCTTGCTTCTTAAGACCATTTGATTGGAAAGACTTTTCCCAGCCTTTTATTCTTAGATAGTGTCTATCTTTGAATTTGAGGTGTTTCTTGTATGCAGCAGAAAGTTGGGTCCTGCTTTTGTATTGATTCTGTTAGCCTGTGTCTTTTTATAGGTGAATTAAGTCCATTGATATTAAGGAATATTAATGACCAGTACTTGTTCATTCCTGTTATTTTTTGGTGGTAGTGTGTGTGCTTCTTTTCTTTGGGGTTTACTGCTGTGGTGTTATCTATTGCCTGTGTTTTCATGGGTTTCTCTCCAGTTTGTATAATTGCATGCCTGCGAAGTGTCATACAAAGACTTTACCACATTGATTGCATTCATAGAGTTTCTCTCCAGTATGTGTTTTTTCATGTACTTGAAGATAACCGTCTTCAGCAAAGGTTTTCCCACACTGATTACATTTATAGTGTTTTTCTCCAGTATGTGTTCTTTTATGTCTTGAAGATAACTATGACATAAAAAGGCTTTCCCACAATGATTACATTCATAGGGCTTCTCTCCAGTATGTGTTCTTTTTTGGCTTTGAAGATAACTGTGACATAAAAAAATGCTTTACAACACTCATTATATTCATAGGGTTTCTCTCCAGTATGTGTTCTGTTATGCCTTTGAAGATGATTGTGACATAAAAAGGCTTTGCCACACTGAGTACATTCATAGGGTTTCTCTCCAGTATGTGTTCTTTCATGTACTTGAAGATAACTATCTTCAGCAAAGGTTTTCCCACACTGATTACATTCATAGGGTTTTTCTCCAGTATGTGTTCTTTTATGTCTTGAAGATAACTATTACATAAAAAGGCTTTACCACAATGACTACATTCATAGGGTTTCTCTCCAGTATGTGTTCTTTTATGACTTTGAAGATAACTGTGACATAAAAAATGCTTTACAACACTCATTACATTCATAGAGTTTCTCTCCAGTATGTGTTCTGTTATGCTTTTGAAGATGATTGTGACATAAAAAGGCTTTGCCACACTGAGTACATTCATAGGGTTTCTCTCCAGTATGTGTTCTTTTATGACTTTGAAAATATCTCTGACATGAGAAGGCTTTACCACACTGATTACATTCATCGGGTTTCTCTCCAGTATGTGTTCTTTTGTGCCTTTGAAGATGACTGTATTGTGCAAAGGCTTTACCACATTGATTACATTCATAGGGTTTCTCTCCAGTATGTGTTCTTTTATGCCTTTGAAGATGATCTTGACGTGCAAAGGCTTTACCACACTGATTACATTCATAGGGTTTCTCTCCAGTATGTGTTCTTTCATGACTTTGAAGATATCTCTGACATGAGAAGGCTTTACCACACTGATTACATTCATAGGGTTTCTCTCCAGTATGTGTTCTTTCATGACTTTGAAGATGACTGTATTGTGCAAAGGCTTTACCACACTGATTACATTCATAGGGTTTCTCTCCAGTATGTGTTCTTTCATGACTTTGAAGATGACTGTATTGTGCAAAGGCTTTACCACACTGTTTACATTCATAGGGTTTCTCTCCAGTATGTGTTCTTTTATGAATTTGAAGATATCTCTGACATGAAAAGGCTTTACCACACTGATTACATTCATAGGGTTTCTCTTCAGTATGTGTTCTTTTATGACTTTGAAGATGACTGTATTGTGCAAAAACTTTACCACACTGATTGCATTCATAGGGTTTCTCTCCAGTATGTGTTCTTTTATGACTTTGAAGATAACTCTGACATGAAAAGGCTTTACCACACTGTTTACATTCATAGGGTTTCTCTCCAGTATGTGTTCTTTTGTGCCTTTGAAGATGATTGTGATACATAAAGGCTTTACCACACTGATTACATTCATAGGTTTTCTCTCCAGTATGTGTTCTTTCATGTACTTGTCGATAACTGTCTTCTGCAAAGGCTTTACCACACTGTTTACATTCATAGGGTTTCTCTCCAGTATGTCTTCTTAACTGCCTTTGCGGATGATTGGGACATTCAAAGGCTTTAACATATTGATTACATTCATATGATGTATGTCCAGTATGTGTTCTTTCATGCTTTAGGAGAAGACTCTGACATTCAAAGGCTTTAACACAATGAGTATATTCAGAAGGTTTCTCTGTAGTATGACTTCTTTCATACCTGCATGGAAAATTAGTGTATGTAAAAGATTTACCACATTCATTACAATGATGTGTCTGTATATCTATATGTATTTATTTTTCAATTTGGTCTAAATGTAAAGAGGAAAAAGATCTTAAGATTTTAGCCCATTATTTACACTTATGTTTTTTCCCTTCATTAAGGGTTGTTTTGCATATTTGAAGATTCCTGTGATGGTAACATCCTTTATTACCTGGCTCATATTGATGGCATCTGTTTTCTCTATGAGATTTCACACCATTGAAGAAAAATGGATGAATTCAGACCTTTATCTCACTTCTTCCATTAACAAATTTTCCTAAACTGTGAGTCCTGCTATATTTCCAAAGTGAACCAGGACAAACACAAGCATTTACACAATCCTGGTACTCACTGCAGTGTGGTTGTTGCTGGATTACCAATGAAGCTGAAAAATCATTTTTTGTAAACTTGCATCACATTCAACAAGTCTACTCAACATGGCAATTATTACATATATTCTGATTGTTCTGAGATGGAGAAATGTGTATTGCTTCTTTTTAGGCCCTATGTTCATATTTTCAAAGTGACATATGATATACCTATTAATGGAAGAATAAGAACTAAAAGATTTCCACATTTCATTTACAGTTGGACTTTCTGTTCTTCATCAACATGTGGTATGGATATTAAGTTTCCTCCACAGCAACCACCTCTTAACGCTTTACTCTAACTACTCTTCTCACTAAATTTAGCAAAGTCAGACCAAATATACGAGTAACCATATTTTACTATGAACTGTTTGCTTATTAGAAGGTTTTGAACATAGTCTTATTACATATTTAATGAGCATAACTTTTGTAATATAAATAGTAGGAATCTAAATGGATAGTCAGTTCTACATCATAGCTCTGATGGAGCTATGATTCAAATGGTGATATCTGTTAAGGCATTGACTCCTTGTCTTCATTCTTGAAAGAATGACATGAAAACACAATTCACTTGTCATTGAGGTATATGGTATTGAAATCATTTAATGATCATCAATGTACTTTAAACTGTAATTATTTATACTGATGCTATTATTTAAAAGTTACAGAAACATTAAAATATCTCCAGAGGAATATTTCTATCAGATTACACATGAAAATTACCTTCCATGTCTTCTAAAACTTTGACAGTGCTCTTCAATATTATCTTCCCACTTGTAACCTAGAATATTACACCAGGAAATATATGAAATATTGGAAATTGTGCAAAATTAAAGTAACTCCCTTCAATAATCATTAAAACCATGCTTAATATCTTCACCTCATTCTTCCTCAGACTCAATCAAATTACAGAAGAGTATCTATAACCAGGAACTAGTTGTCCCCTTATTTTAAAATGTGAAGGAAAATTTACAGTATTACCTATAACAGTGAGGTTTCTGTAAGTTTCCACCATCACATCTTTGTAGAGATTCTTCTGGGAAGGATCCAGCAAAGCCCACTCTTCCTGAGTGAAGTTGACATGCACATCATTATATGTCACTGCGTCCTAAAATTTGCCATAAATAAATATGTCATGCATATGCATACAACAAGACATATGATACTGACATCATTGTAAATGCAGGCTTCTTTAACAATATAGTCATATAATTCTGGTGTTTCGAACACTTATTCTATGATACAGACACTATAATATAGTCATTTAGCTACTTTAGAAGGAAATTGAATAGGGCACTTACCTCTATCATTCCTGAATGCTCTGAATGCAATATCACCTTGCAAGAGAATACATATTAACAGATAGAGAGACAAGATAAATCATCATCAGTACTTATTACATGTTAGAGAAACTGTATGAATAGTTACTAACTACAAAAAAAGATGAGCAAGCTGGGTGTATTGATTCATGCCTTTAATCCCAGCATGAAGATAAAAGAGGTAGGTATATCTGCCTCTGAGTTGAAAGCTAGCCTATACTATGCAATCATTTTTAGGAGAGAAAGAAGTAAAAATTAAGAACGTATCTCCTCTGCAAAAATCAATCAAATAAACAAAAATGATAGGAAGGACTCAGAGGTTTTTTTTTAATGAAGTTTCTACAAAGAGTTACATAATCACTTGAGTTCTGTATTCATTTTCTAGATAACTGAATTGCTTCAGTTTAAATGGTAACCTTAATAAATCTTACCAAAAGGAACTATGCATTTAAACAGCTACAAATAGATAGATGATACCAATAGCAATATAAATGTTGAACATAAATAATCAACACAGTGCAAGAGAGACAGCTCAGAAGTTAAGATCTCTTGTTGATCTTGCATATAAGTGGGCCCAATTGCCAGTCCTTATGTGGAAGTGTCTGAGGCATGTAAATCTGGATGGATATATTTAACATTCTGCCTAAAGTCATCATTCCCTTGTCCTTTGCAGCAACAAAATCACTTTTGGTGTACTACATTATGTTCTAACTTGCTTGCTTCACATTGTGATTGAATTCTCTACCCAAAAAGCACCACAGGTAATGAATGGGTTTATTTGGCTGATTCTGCCAGGTCACAATTCATCATTTTGGGAACTTAGAAGTTCAAGCTAGCAAATAGAGACAAAAATCATTTAAATAAACCTTTGTTTAGTACCTTTCTCTGTTACTTGGACATTGTCTCATGCTCAGCTAGCTCTCTTATCCAGCCCAGGTCAACTCTCATAGGGATATTGTACCCTCACTGGAAGGGCTTTCACACATCAATCAGCAATCAGCAAAATCTCTCAAAGATATACCAAACAGCCATTCTGATGGATCACATCCTCAACTGAGGTTCCAACAGGTGACTATAGGCTCTGTCATGTTGACAGCTGGAAGTAACTAGGACAAAGGGACAATAATATATGAGGAGGTTTAAAAAACCAAAAACCAATGTATTAACAATGTCAATAACTTAAACAGCAACAATGCAAACACTGATGATAGTAACAACTGGAAAACATATGTATGCCAAGAAATGAGGAGAAACAAGCTTCTAAGATAAAGAAGAGAAAACTAATGCTGTTTCTCCACAGAAAGTCTCCAAGACAACAAACTCAAGGAACTCATAACATAATGCAGTAATTTTTCAGAAAATAAAAATAGGTGGAGGTCCATCATTTTGCAGAGAAAAATATAACCAAATTATAACTAATAAAAAATTGATAAAACCTAGATGGTGTGACTGATAAATGGAGACACAAAGAGAGACCTACATAGTTAACATGGTCTCTTGAACAAGAACTGTAAGATTCTAATGAAAATCAAAATTAAAAAAAAATCACTGATCACCACTCACACTGTGCACACCAGTTCTCTTGTTAGCCAATAATAGAAAATAGATTGAGTGATAAGGACTGTTCTAGAAAAATTGGATGGATTCACTTGAAGCCTGATATTTCTACATTGTAGAAAATGGTTTTGACTACTAAAATTATCACATTCTGTTTTGATAAAGAAAAGGATGTCTGTTAGGATCATTTTAAAACCCTTTGTTTCTATGATTGATGACTGGATGTAAGTCTGCATCAGAGTGAGGAAATGAAAAAAATTTCAAACAAAATGCTAGATAACAGATTTTTAAATCAATGTTGTATGATTTGTATTAGATACCTAAAGCAACCTGTTTTCCTCTAATTGTTTTCTAAGTCACAAGCATGTTTTTAAAATAAGTATATCCTCATTTTTATGTGTATGTTTGTTTGCATGTATGAGAGAAATTTTCTATGTGTATACAAGTGACACACCAAAGAGTGTGTGGGATCCCTGGATCTGAAATGGCAGGTGGTTATGAGCCTCTCAACTTGAGTGTTGATTTCTGAACTAAGGTCAACCCCAAGAAGAATATTTGCTGAGAGTCATGCACAGCCCACAGAGTACTTTTTATCTAATAAACTAAGTCTTTCACAGATTAATAACAGAAACCTACATAAAGAAAGAAGTAAATAAATGAAGCCTGGGAACTTGATGAATCAGTATTAAGATGTTGGGTATGGGATCAGGTAGGTGCCTACAGACCTTCCCCAATCTCTATTACCTAAATCCAATACTCAGGGTTGCCTCTAGGGCTGTAACAGAACTTCAGCTGCAGCTTCTCTTCCACCTGTTCATAATTCCTGTGGATTCCAAAGACAATCCCCACTTGCCCTGTCTTTCTTACCTCATGTCTATGTCAAAGCACCCAACTAACTGGGGCAGCACCCCCAATCAACTAATTGTCACATCTTCCAGAAGACCAGTTAGGCTATCCACAGATCTACAACATTATCCCTTATCCTAGACCTGATTTTAACAGTTGCCCCATCATTGCAGTAGATCACCAGAGGCAGCTTCCCCTCTCCACTCTCCATTTCTCCTGCAGATCCCTATGGTTATCTCCCCCTCATCTCCCCTTGACCCAGTTTCCAACACCAGTAAGCATTCTCCCTTGAACACACCAGCCAATAAGACCAGGAAAAAAGAAAACACTCAGGCAACACACACTCTGAAACTCAAGAGAATAAACAGAAAATCAGGAACAAAACTCCCATTGAACAAAGATAAAGTCAGGAAACAGCACCGAGACCTATAATCACCCCAAACCTGATGCCTAGCATAGGAACATAATTAATAACAGCCAGGGTAATATATCACCATCAGAGCCCAGCTATCCTACCACAGCAGACCCTGAATAATCTAACAAAGTTGAAATACAAGACAAAACACCCTCAAAACCAAATATATGGAGAGGATAGAGGAACTTAAAAAGAAAATGAATAAATACCTTAAATAAATTTACAAGAGCACAAACAAAGAAACAATTGGAGGAAATCAATAAATTCCTCCAAGAAAGCTAGGAAAACACAAACTATTGGAGTAAACCAATAAACAACTTAAATAAAACCAAGATAAAACAAACTAATCATTAAAGGAAAGAAATAAAATTGTTGAAGACCTGAAAATGGAAACTGAAGCAATAACAGAAAACAGAAACTGAGGGGATTCCAGAAATGAAAATTTTAGGACTACAAACAGGAAGTACAGTTGGCTATATCAGTCAAAGAAAATGTCAACTATAAAAATTTCTTGATGCAAAATAACCAGGAATTCTTGGACATTATGCAAAGACCAAACCTATGAATGACAAGAATAAAATAAATATAAAAAAACTAAGCTCAAACGTCCAGAAAATATTTTCAATAAAATCATATAACAAATTATCCTGAGTTAATGTAGGTGCTGATAAAGGTACAAAGAAGCATGCAAAACACCCAAGAAATTGGGTCAGAAAAGAAAGTTCCCTTGTCACATAAAAACCAAATCACTAAACATTCAGAACAAAGAAAGAGTATTAAAAGCTGCAAAGACAAAAGACCAAGTAATATATAAAGGCAGACCTATGAAAATTACACCTCACTTCTCAATGGAGATTCTAAAAGCCATAAGGGCTTGGGCACATGTGATGCAGGCTCTAAGAAACGACAGATGCCATCCCAGATTATTACATTCAGAAACTTTTCTTCACTATAAATGGAGAAAATAAGATACAATTTATATAATATCTTTGTACAAATCCAGTCCTGCAGAAGGTACTAGAAGAAAAAATCCAATCCAAGGAAGCTAACTACACATATGAAAATACAGTAAATAAATAATATTACATCAGCAAAACCAAAAGAAGAGAAACACACACACACTCACACAAACACAAACTAACACACTCTCATACACATACCATCATCACCAACAATAACAACAACAAAATAACAGGTATTAATTATCATTATTCCTGATATCTCTCAATATCAATGGCCTCAATTCCCCAATGAAGACACAAATTAACAGTATGGATTCAAAAACAATATCCACCCTTCCACTCCATAAAAGAAACACACTTCAACATCAAGGATAGAGGTTGCCTAAAGGTGAATGCTGGGAAAGATTTAAAGCAATTGGAACTAAAAAGTAGGCTTGTGTAGCTATTTTATTATCTGCCAAAATAGACTTCAAACAAAAATTAATCAAAAGCAATGGGGAAGAATACTCCTTAGTCATCAAAGGTAAAACTCCACCAATATGACATTTCAATTATTAATATCTATGCCCCAAACACAAGGTCACCCACTTTTGTAAAAGAAATACTTCTACAGGTTAAATGACACACTGACTCTCACAGTGTTTGATAGTGGTAGATTTCAATACCCCACCCTCAACAATGGACAGGTCATCCAGACAGAAACCAAATGGAGAAATATTGGAGCTAATGGATTTTATAAATCACATGAACATAACACACTATAGAACATTCCACCCAAAGAAAAAGAATACACCTTCTTCTCAGCACCATATGGAATTTTTTCCAAAATTGATGACACACTGGGACATAATTCAAGTCTCAACAGATATAAGAAAATGGAAAGAATTCCTTGTATCCTATCTGATCACCATGCATTACAGCTGGTTATAAAAACAAAACAAAACAAAACCAGAAAGCTTAAAAACTAATGAAAACTGAACAACACTCTACTAAAGAAAATGAGTCAAGA